AGCATATTTGGAGCGCTTTTATTGTGGTTCGTGGTCATTAGATTTGAATGTTTGATCGTGAAGATACAGAATATTTCAAACAAAGATATGATGGTCATTTGTATAAAAAAACAATTACAAATCAGGAGGTAAAGATAATCAACTTGTTGATTATTTCTTCTTCATTAATCTTAATAAACTTTACATATTATAATCTTAATAAACTTGAAATATATTGTTCGTTCCTTTTCAGCAACTTTTTTCTTTATGCATAACCAACTCTAATTTTTGAATTATTCGCAAAAAATTTTTGGTATTATATTATTGAATTCTGCTTATTATATGTGTATGTCTATACAAAATATCCTAAAAATGAAAATATAAATAATGAACAAATTATAATATTCAATACTATTCAATATTTACAAATTATAATATTCACACTATTCAATTCATATATTATTCTTGAACGCATATATAAATTAAATTCAATATAATAAAATTCAATATAATAAAATTCAATATAGTAAAATTCAATATAATAGTATTAATTTTTGTAAATAATTCGAAAACTGCCGATCGTCAATTGTGTATAAAAAAAAAAGTTGATTAAAACAATATTTTACGATATATTTTAAAGTCATTAAAATCAATGAGGAGAGAACTAATCAATAGGATTAACATTTTATAATGTATAGATTAAATTATTTTTATTTATATTCATTGTAAGCAATTTATTTTTTAGATACGCAAAATAGCCAATTGTCTCCAGCATATCATTTTTTACACTATAATAGCAACATCATTTAATATGACTTGCTGGTATTATATTAATAATGGTAAATTTTATGATATCTTATGTATGTAATATTTTTCATAATTCAGTCAATTTGTCAATTAATTTCTTTCTTATCGATTTCAATAAATTTAAAATATGTTAAAAGTATCATTTTTTTTATATAATCGATTAGACTTAATTTTCGATTTATTCACAAAAAACTTTTAATGATATATTGAATTCTACTTATAGATGTGCATTCGTGATAACATGTGATGCATTTATATATAATATATAATATATGTATATATATATATATATATATATATACATATATATATAATAGATACATATATAATACATACATAATACATATATAATTTGATTTTGAGATAATTTTAAGTAATATTTTTTGTTACTTTGTAAAAGTATATATTAGGACCTATATAACTAAAAAAATTTTGTTATGACTTTATTAATGAGTTATTAACAAAAAATTGAATTGATCAATCGCGGAAACCTAGTTGAGCAATGACAATAGTATTAACTACATATTACCGACTGAGCACGAATAAATTCAAGTAACATATATCAAAGAAAATGTGTTGAATATTATACTTTATTCATTATTCATGATATAATTCGATATATCAAAAAAAAAAAAAAAAATATTTGTTATATAACAATTATATATATTATATGTTTATGCTTAAAATCAGTTTATGTTTTATTAATCAACTTCTGGAATTTCTTGTATAAACATATAATAAATGCAAATCATGTAACAATGCTTATAGATTTTTATAAGAAATAGCAAAAGTTTTTGTGAATAATTAAAAAATTAAATTTGATGTAAAAAAAAAAATTGCTCAAAATGATTTCTTTCATAACATATTTTAAAGTCATTAATATCGATGGAAAAACTGATTTATCTTATAATGATATAATATAATAATATAATATAATTTGTAACCAAAATCCTCTATTAATTATAAAAATACAGTTTATCACATGTTTAATCACCTGTTTCACTGCACTCATAGAAGTTTATTTATATGCATGGCCAGCGCAATATATGGATGATATGGTAAAAATCGTTTACATGTACATTATTATTTATATAAAATATTTACAAAAATTTAGAAATTACATTTAGATTCAATGTAAATAATTGAATTCGATAATGAATCGAATACATTCATTATTCAGATCGGAATAGAAACATAAGTGGACTTGGATAAATTTAAACAGATTCGTATGAGTGTAAACAAGATAAGAATATACAAATATATAACTTGATATTTTTGAATAATCTAACGTTCCATGTTGCATTAATATAATTAATATGTGTTAATTATAAGTAACAGTTATTTTAATATTATTATCTTATTATTATCTTATAATTTCCAAAATTAATGCATTTAATTTCTCTCAATGCAATCCAAAAAATTGAACTATCTTGTTTATTAAATTATTTAAATTATTTAAGAATTTATATATCATACGTACCTATTTAACTTGATCCGAGCTCAAAGAAAATAAATTTTTAAAATAGATAAATAGAAATAAATATTTTAATTTTTTTCAATGATATAACATTTTATAAATAAAATTTTCTTTGAAATCTTCTTTGAACACATAAAAAGATAGTATTTTAAATATATGTATTTAAACAAATATTATTTTGAAATTAATATTTTATCGAAATTAATAATATTCTAAATAACAGTATTTTAATTATAAAATATATTTTTATATTTATATTAAGTTAACAAAGATAAGTGTATTTATTATATAAATATATATTTATTATATAAATATAGAGAGTGCATATATTCTTAAGACTATTAACTATCCTATCCTATTTGAAGAATCGATTTCTAAAAATCAAAACAAATATAAAAATTAACTTATTTATAAACAATATAAGTTTGCATTAAATAAAACGAAATTGAAACAGAATGAGACGGTTACGTAACAAAGACAGTTTCTCTATCTTTATTTTTTTCGTTTAATAAACTTAAATTGTTTATAATAAATAAATATGAATAAATAAATTATCTCATTATCAACATTTAAGATTTTTAAATTTCAAATAAAGTTATTTGTATCATTGAAAAAATGAAAATAATTAATTTCAAATAAAAATTTGATTTATTTGTATATTTTATATATTTTTATTCAATATATAATTTATATTCATTTACATGTACATATATATAATTAATTGAATCATATATATAATTAATTTTCCATAATTTCTAGAGTAAAAATGTTTCAATAAGTGCATATAATTTAAAATGGTATGAACAGACATCAGAAATGCAACAAAATATATTGATTATGCTGATATTTCAAAAACCAATATCTCTTCCATCAATTTTTTAGTGCCAAAACTTTCTCTGCGCTCTTATTGTGCGGTAAAATTATTTAATTCTTTAAACATTAATTATAAATTAATTAATTAAGAATAATATATAAATGATAAATTAATAATATTTCAGTATTTGTCCAATGCCTTCTCTATCTTCACAGCTTTACGAGTTATATTAAAAAATAATTCAATATAAACATATTTATTATTAAAATATTAATTTAATATATTATTTTAATTATATAATGGAGTGATTATAAAATATAAAATGATAATAGGAATAATGTTTATATTTTATATTTATAATATTTATAAAAATTTAAGCAAATATTAGTGTAAACTAGTAAAATAAGTTTGAATCATTTTATAAATAGAATTATAATTAAAATCAATGAATAAATCATAATTACAAAATTGTGTTAAAAAACATTATTTTAATTTAATTATAGATTGATTGATATGAAATCTTATATAATAAAAATATTAAATAAAATATTATAACGTATTAATGTTTATTACATATATATAAAAAATACAATAATCTAAATCAGATCAAATGTTATTGATACTTTATATGATACTTCACAAAAAATTTTATGATTTTGAATCTACAAAAACTAAAAAGATAAAAATAAATCATTTATAATTACTTTGCACAATGAAATGAAAAAAATATTATTTCTTTAATAAAAATAAAACCCCATGCCTATGTAAATAATGAAAATATATTATTTACTGTTTCATTTTTATTCTATACTTTCAATGATTTATAAATATGGAAATTTAATGTTTTATAAATTAGAATGTGATTTATAATCATGTTCATGATTTTGAATAATTTATTATCTATATTTTTCAAATTTTTTTTCTATAATATGTACATATTTTAAAATATAAAATATATTTTAACTTTTAAATTTTTAAATATGAAATATAAAAAATTTAAATAAAAAATATAGAAAATTTTAATTTTAATTTCTACTATTGTATTTAATTAAAAATTAAAATCACACAAAAGAAAAATATGATAATCAATATGAGAAATAATTGAATTATGTTAGCTACAATATTGAGATATAATAATTGCATTGAAATATGCATATAATAATTATTAATTAACTGAATAATTTCATTGAATTCTTGATTTATTATAACATTTTATTAAAAATAAATATTTCATAAACTCAAAAAGAAACATCTCTTAGGTAATTTCTAATAATTGACTGTATTTTAATATTGTTATTAATTTATTTTCTCTATATCATATTTAAAGTAAATTATGTTATTAATAATACATACATACATATACATATTTTTTATCATAAACATTACAAAATATTTTACTTGATCTCAAATTATATATGTAAATAATTTATTTTATATTAGATTTTTATTTATGAGATTACTTAAAAACATTTTTTTGTAGTACTTTTTTACTCAATAGAGGGCGATATTGATTCGTTCTTTCCGGTTCATCATGGCGGTAAGTGTGGAATTGTTGTTTTTAAAATAAATTTTATAATCTTTAAATACCAAAGACATCAAATATTAATAAATTATTTTTTATGTATTATAAAAAAATTACTATTATTTATTTATTATTGATTAATATCTTTTTCATTAATATATTAGAATTATAATTTAATATATGACAGTTGATTGAGGTTTGTGATCAGCATGTATAACAAATATAACCTAGATTTATTTAATGATGTTTATAATTTTATAGTTTTAAATTAATTGTTTATATATAATAGTTTAAGAAAATAGTATGGGAAGTTAAATTAATTTATTATTAGAATAAAATGTTTTGAATATTTTTTTATTTTTATATATAATAGGAATGTATAATTTTGTTGAAATCGTATTAAAGTAATTTTCTTACAGGATTCAAAGAAATCTTCAGAAAAAAAAGTTGAAAAAAGAATCGAGAAAAAAGTGAGAAAAGAGCCTAAGGATGCATCAAAGAATATTATGCGTGAAGTACGCATTCGTAAACTTTGTTTGAATATTTGTGTGGGTGAATCTGGTGATAGACTAACCCGTGCTGCAAAGGTACTTATAAATATTACTTATATTTTCTTTATATATTATGTTATACACATTTTTGTTAATATATTACATTTGTGTTAAATTCATAATTACATTCATAACTTTCTTCTTTTATGCCACTTTAACTATTATATAAATATATAAACATTTTTTTTATATTTTCGTTTATAATAAGAATTGATTTTAAAAAATTAATTTTCTTTTTTATGGAATTATATTTTTATAAATAAAAATATAAATAATAAATATATATATATAATATTTAACAATATTAATATATAACAATAATTTATAACAATATATATAACAATAATATATAACTATATTATAAATATATATTATTCATTATTTCAATTATATTATTTATTTTATTTTTATAGGTATTAGAACAATTAACTGGACAACAACCTGTATTTTCCAAAGCAAGATATACTGTTCGATCTTTTGGAATTCGTCGTAATGAAAAAATTGCAGTACATTGCACAGTACGAGGTGCTAAAGCAGAAGAAATTCTTGAACGTGGATTGAAAGTAATTCTATTACTTAAATTAAATGTTTCATAATATTTTCCGTTTGATATTTTTTTTTTTTTTTTTTAAAGGTACGAGAATATGAATTACGAAAAGAAAATTTTTCTGGTACCGGAAACTTTGGTTTTGGTATTCAAGAACATATTGACTTAGGAATTAAATATGATCCTAGCATTGGTATTTATGGTTTGGACTTCTATGTTGTTCTCGGACGCCCAGGTTAGTTTATTTTCATTTTATATTCTATGAAAAATCAATTTATTAAATATATAAATATATGCACATTTGGCATAATAGTTACTACTATATTCAGTCGTATCTATATTTATAAAATATGTGCTAAAATACAGGCTTCATATTTGCAACTCATGCCCACTTTATTATACTGGGTGTGTTACTTAATTGAAGCTACAATTTATATTTATATTTATATTATAAAAAATATATTATATTATATTATAATTATATTTATAATAAAAAATGAATTGAATAGAAATCTTAATTAATAGAATGATAACTTAAGAAATTTTGAAGACGATAAATAATTAACATTAATGATGTATGATAATTTATTAATTTACACAGCTTAATTTATTAATTTACTATGCTTTATATATTTCATTGTAAAAAATAATATAATTATAATAATTGAATTATAATAATTCAAAAAATAATAAAATAATAAATAAATAACTATTAATTAATAAAAATTATTTTGTGTGTAATTTATTATTTTTTTTTTTTTGTTAAGGTTTCAATGTAGCTCACAGAAGAAGAAAAACTGGAAAAGTCGGTTTTCAACATAGACTTACCAAAGAAGATGCAATGAAGTGGTTTCAACAGAAATATGATGGTATTATTATAGCTGGAAAGAAATAATTACATAATTTGTATTTTACATTTCTTTCATAAAACTTTTAAAAATAAAATACCTGTTTAAAAAATTTTTATTAATATTTTTGTCACATTATTATTATTCCATTTACTATATAAGAAGTATATTTATTATTATAATAATTTTTTAATATTAATTTATTTTTTAATATTAATATTAATTTTTTAATATTTAATTTTATTTCATCATTTTATTTTATAACAATATTAAAACTTAAAAATTTTATAAATTATATATAGTTTTTCAAAATTGATTTCTTATGAAATATTTTGAAAATTATCTTCAATAATAATATTTATGATAAAGCAAATCATACATATATTTACTATAGAATTTTAACAGATTTTATTAATAACCACTATATCATATCACTATTATATTAAAATATATAAATAAGTCATGCATAAGAAAATAATATAGGAATATTTTATATTCCAATTATTAATATTATTAAAAATTAATATATTGGTTTTAATTAACGTTTAAAGTTAGATAATTATTACATCATTTATAAAAAACAGTAAATAATACAATACATGAAAATACAGAAGACCATCGTATATAATATAATTCTATTATTTATTATATATGGTATTTATTTATGTTATTTTCTTTGCAAAAGATTATGAGTAGATAAATTAATAAGAAAATTTTATTTAATATCACGATTTAACTGTTTAGATTTCATTCTCAAGAGATCGCGATATATTTGAAAGATATAAATATTACTTTTAAGATAATTTTAAAACTGCTATCTTCTAAGGAAATGTAATTTTAAATAATGAGAAAAGAATTTATAATTATAGTTTTATATCTCTTATAATAAAAGTATTCTTTAGAAATGTGAACTAATTATATAGTTTTCTTTTTTTAATTTCAAAATCCATTATTATTAATTCTTTATGATAATGATATGCATAAAATATTTTTAATTGAAATTTTAAGCAAAATGTTCACATTTCTATGAACATATTTTACATTTATTTTTTGAAATAGAAATGAAAATTTGATATTAATTATTATATTTTGTTTTTATTACTATAAAAATGTCTACAAAATAAAATTAATAAGGGTATTGGAAAAATACAATATTAATTAATTTTTTATATAAATAGTTTATTTAAAATATTTTTAACTCAAATAATATCTACATAAATGTACATATGTATATATATAAATAATGTATATAAATTTTAGTTTATTGAAATATACTAAAACTGAAATTGTTTTTTTGAATAATGATATTTTTAAAAAATATAAATACATTTTACTACATGAAAATAAATTTATTTTCCAGTACCCTTATAATAGTATTCTAGTATTATCAAAATATAATTAATAAAACTTGAAGCATAATTATTTTTTTCAAACTGTATTATCTAATTAATATTAGAACAGTTATTAATAACATACATACATATAACAAAGCATATATTTTTTTTTTTCATAATCTATTTTATATTTAATAATTTTTTGATATTTATATGTATCTTTGGTTTTAATCTAATATGTATATAGTATCATGGTATTAATATTTAATATCGATTTTAGCAATCAAAACAAACACAAAAACTGATATATAAAAATTGAAAATTATTTATTAAGTTATAAACTGAAATTTTGATTGGATAAAGCGAGATATTAATATGATCGAGATAGCTATCTCTGTTTTATTTCATCTACGGTATACTTAAAATATTTATAATTTAATAAATAAGATTTAATTGTTTTTATATTTATTTAGATCTCTAAAATCGATTTTCCAAAGATATCTGATTAAATGAATATTAAAATTTTGAATATATAAATTATTTTAAAACATGTGAAATAGAGTCATAACAGGTATATAAGAAATGTGCTCCTTTTAATTTTTATATGACATCCATAAATAATTACATTATAATACTCTCTCATATCTATCTAACTTGATATAATCAAGCAGATAAAAAGGCAAAATATTTCCCTCAGTCTCCAAATTGTTTCATTATCTAGACGCCATATCTGGACTAATATTATGAATATATACTATATTTTATTTAATAACAGCTAAATATATATATATATTATATAATTTATGTATAATATAATATAATATTATATAAATTTATATAATCTATAATATTATATAATCTATATATTCAAAAATTAAAATATTTAATATCTTGCATAACTTACAATTAATTAAATATAAAATATATCATATTAAATTATACATATATTTTATGAAAGAAAAAAAATATTTCATATTTTACTATGAAATTAATAAATTTTTTTCTTTTTTTTTTATGAACAAGTAAATGTATTTAATCTTTTGCATTGAGATAAATAAAATGCTTTTCATATAGTTATATATTTTGTAATTGCTTACATTAAATATACAAATTATAGTTGTTGCAATGCATTTTATGAAATATGCTTAATATATCAAAAAATAAATTATATTAAACATGGCATAATTTGTACAATATATTACATAATGTACAATGTGAAATATAAGAATATTTCAATATTTTATATAATAAGAATTATAACTGTTATAATTATTATGCAATATATTAATTGATATATATTGCCAACTAATAATTTCAAGTACAATACAAAGGATTAAATCATTTACTTTATTTCATTTACTTATACATTGTATGTAAACATATATACATATGTCATTTTTTATTTTTGATATATACTTTTTAAATCAAGTAAATAAAAATTAATAAAATTATATAAAAGAATAATTTTCGATCAACGTATTCTAAATAATTTACACAATATATCTTTAAAATTTTTCAATAAATTTATATTTCAAATTAGAAAAACTTATAATAAATTCAAAGTTTACTTGTTTTTTTTTAGAGAATATGTACTTGTACTTTTTAGAGAATATAAATAATTTTGTAAATTATATATAAAGTATTTTAAATTATAAAATTGTAATTGTAAATATGATAAATTAATAAATTAAAATATTTTAATTACGTCATATTTCTTAAGTAATATGTTAACTAAAGAGATATCTAGAAATTTTAAAAATATTTGCAAAAAACAAGCAAAAATTTAATTAATTTTAATAATTTATTATTCTAAATCATTTCACTTTCATTCTTTTTTTTTTTCATTCTATTTTTCTCATTTGTTTGTTTCATTTTTAATTCTTTTTTGTACTTTAAAATTTAATTTATCAGAACTGATGATATTGAAATGCGTTAACAATATAAATACGTAAAAAATTAAAAATTATTTAATAAATTATTAATAAAAAAAAAATGAAAAATAAATTCAATGTATAGATGTAATATTGAATTTCAAATGTATTTTTGATTTTAATTAATTATTATGAATATTAAATATTATTATTCAAGTATAAATATAATAAACAATATTAAAATTGAATACTTTGACATTATAAAATTTTTTAAATCTGCATTCCTAAAAAAAAAGATGATAAAAACAATAGAAAAATATAATATACAATTCCTTAAAGATGTGTAATACAATAGGATTTGATTATCCGAATTATATAATTAATTATAAAAATTAATTACATCGGATAATTAAATTTTAATACTTATATATGATTGCTATGATTGCATTTGATATGAAGAATGAAAACTTATTATATATATACTTTAATTTTATTTTTTTTTCAAATTAAAATTAGACTTATCTATACAAATTAAATTAAAAAAAATATATATATATAATATAGTAAATAATATAGATAAGTATTTACATTTCCTTTTGGCGCTTGATATTATTCGGATAAAAAATGGTGAGGAAATCAAAGTTTTATTATACTTTTTCTTGCAAATTAATATTTGTAATTTAACATTATGTAACATTGAATTTTAATTTCAAATATCAAGCGATTCATAATTAATATTTTTATCGTAATATAATTATATTAAAAATTTAAAAAATGAAAATTATCATTTGAAATTATTTTATACTTACTTAATGTAAAACAGCTTTTTCTTTTTCAAATTTTTCTTTTTTTAAACATATTTAATAATATTAAACTGTTTTTGTAAGTTACTTAAAGCTATACATTTTAATGCTTACAATATTTTTGTTTATAAAATCTTTTTAACTAAAAATCAAAATAATTTAAAAATAAATTCATATATATGTATACATATATATATATGATATAATAATGGCTTGCTATTTATTGGTTTTCTTTGCTTTGTTAATTATTATATATGACAAAATTTAAGTCTAAGCAATAGTTATTGAAACATATTATATATCGTATTTAATATTTAATAATTGTTTTATGAAAGTTTAATTTGTAAATATTGTACAAAATCAGCAGTTTATTAAAAATTATATACTTACATGCCCATAAGCTATATATAAGCTATTATTTGATTTAACAAATATATAATAAATATATTATATAAATTATAATATTTTATATGTTTCTACATTGATAAAATAATAATTTTATTTTTATTAAAATATGATAATTTTATGATTATATTTATTTAAATAAATTAAATAAATAATTAGAGATAATAAATATTGAATTTTTTATAAAAATTTGAAAAAATAATCTTTATATTCACACGAAGTTAATTGTTAAGAAAAAAAAATTTTAATAGAAAAATAAGCGATTCTAATATTATATTATATATATTATAATTATATATATTATTATATGTTAATTAAATGTTATATGTTTATTAAATGTTATTAAAAGATCAATGCAATGAATAAGAAGTATAAGTTAAAAAATAAATCATAAATTAAAAATCAAAATAAATCAAAATTTAAAAAAAGTGAATCAAACTTATTAAATAATATTTAAATTCAGATATTAATTTTTATATTATTAAAAATATATAACTTTTAATTATAAATCAATTTACATCTGATAAAAATGAGATATAAAAAATAAAATGAATAATATATTCGTGATATTATTAGAATGATTTATATTATTGATTTTATATATTATATTATTGAAATATTATTGATATTTATATTTGTATAATATTTATCTAAATATTTATAAGCGAAAAAATGGATAAATGAAATTATTTAAATAAAATAACGAATGAAATAAAATGTAGAAAAAATTTTAAATAGATTTAAGTATAGATATAAAGTAATAAATGTTATAAATATAATAATTATAAATTTCAACATATTTTATATATCAAAGAAATATATTAAATAATTATCCAAAAATAATGAAGTATTACCATAAGATAATAATATTAAGATATAAAAAAAGGTAAACAAGAATATTATATAATAATAAAAGATATTTAAAAAAAATTTTATAAAAATTTATAGTTTTTATTTATATAAAAAAAATTATATAAACTATTATATAGTTTTCCATTATTGTTTTTCATTATCCATATATATTTTCCATAGTTTTCCATTAATTATAACTATAGTTAATATTATTAAAATATTAATTAAATTCTTTTTACATGTTTTTTCATAAATATAATTTTTAATAACTGGTGATTTTTATATGATTTTTTTAGAAATATATACGTTTACAAAAGATATTTTTAATTTTTATATATTGCATAGAAATGTATTAATTTATTCATATACGAAATATTTTAAACATAATTCTATAATAAAAATAAATATGCAAAAATTTTGTAAGTATTAAATTGTTCAACTTTTAATAATAATCACTGTATATCTCTACATAATGTATAATATATACTCTATTAAATATATATGTGTATTAAATAAAATTGCAAAATCATAACTAATATAAAAAATTTTTTTCCTCTTTTAAGTTATTTTTTTTTTTATATAGCAAAAAATATTTTGATAGCATCAATATAAGAAATTTATAATAATGAATTATGAATGAAATTTATAAATGAATTAATAAGCTATCTTATGCAAAATGAATAAAATTAGCAAACACAATTGTATATAATGATTTTGTTATTGAATTATTTGTTAATGTTAATTTGAAGAAAAAAAATAATAAAAAAAATTATTAAAATAGATAAATATATAATGTGAATATTGTACACATATATGATGTCATAGTTATAAAAATATATATAGCAATGCTATATGCTGCCATGTTAATAGTATAAGTTAATAGTATAAAGAATTTATAATTGTATAATTATATATTATACAATATTAATATTGATTTTAAATAAAAAATTCAATTCAAATACTATAATTTGTAAATAAAGTATTTTTAAATAGCATTGAATAAAAAAAATACAATAAATTGTCTGAAGATTTTAGATTTGCATTGAAATTCAATAATGAAGAAGTTTTAAATATTACTTTCTTGTTGATCGATATATTTTATCAATATTGTGCTTTTCAATTTCTGAGAATCCTAAAATGCTTTCAATTGCATTCAAATGCCCATGATGATTTTCTTTATCCGTTAAGAAATAGTAAATCGCCGATTTTAGGAACTGCAATGTGATCTCTGGATCAAGGGCACCTTGATTATTACGTGCTTCTAGTATACGTCGGTACATTGCCTGTTAAACAGATTATATTTGCTAATCATTTTGGAAATAATTTCTATAAATTAAATTAATAACTGTGTATATTTTTAATTTTATACATTCCTTGGCAGTGTACTATATATATATATATATATATATATATATATTACATATTAGATCCAAACATAGTTTATTATTAAATCAATTAAAAATAAACATTTTAATACATTTATACAATTAAATACATTCATTTTGAGAATATTATTAACTCATTTTTCAGGATCTAACATGATAATAATGATATGATTTGTATGCAATGGTGCAAGCATATGATGCTTAAGCACGTGCAAACTTACATTAACTGAAGGATAATAAGAGGCTGTTTCTTTCAAGTGCACAAAATAGTTTTCTTCGAACCTAATAATACTGCATAATAACACAAACCAACTACATTTGTGCTTAAGTTGGCATGCAATTGTGACAAAGCATTATAATAAATACATTCTCTCATAAACTCTCATAATATAATTTATAAATAAAGACACGTGAAATCAATTCTTACCACTATCATAATTTTTATTTTCAAAATTAATAATAATTAAATTAAATATATTTAAATATTAATTAATACAAAATTAAATTTTTAAAAAATTAATTAATAATTATTATAAAAATACAAGAATAATTTTTACTAACTGATATAATATAATTCATGAAAAAAAATATTTAATATTATATAACAGACATACTAATTAAAAATAATACAATTATTTCTTTGGATACTACTTTATTAAAAAGTAAATAAATAAATAAAGTATAAATATTTGTTGTAATAATAATATATATGTATAAGTAATTTGTACAAACTATTCATCATTATATTTATATATTTATTTTATATTTATTTTCATGCTTGAAAAAATAGAATATATATACAAATTTATAAAAACTTAGTTTAATAATAATAAAATAAATTATTTATAAAAGTTAATTTAAATATAATATGTACATAAATAATCATATATAAAAAAAATTTTATAAGAATATTTGTTAAGAAATAATAGTTACAAATAAATAATAGTAAGTTTAACAATTTTTATTTAAAATTTACAAAATTAGCTAATATATTTTTATTATTTAAAGGGAAAAATGCAGATATTTCATTAAAAAAATAATTATTTAAATTATAAAAGTCCACTATTTTGCAAAAAAAGGAATCTCAACAAGGCAGAAATAAGAAAAAAATATTTGTTTGTGCATTTGTATGTGAACAAATACAACGTTGATGCTTAAAACAGTGGATGAGAATTGCGTCACGTGGCGATTCAGCAGAAATACAGACCTTACGTGTGCCAAGGACCCAGAGAGAAACAGCCTCCTGAGCACTTAATAAACTTTGGCTACGATCGGCTGAAATGTGAGGTTCAGGCGAGTAGCTTGTGTCCTGGAGTGTGAGCGGCGACCAAAAAAAGTGGCACATTATTAGTACAAGAGATTTGTGAATAACAAAGATGCACAGAAAGTGATGCATGAACAACAGTGATTCCTAAATTATATCTTATTTATTCTTATATATTTGAATTTTTATGTTTTATTGTTATAGAGATATAATCTACATTTCCTTAAGAAGAAATTATGAAAAAGTTAATAGAAATCTAAAATAATAAACAGTAAATAATATAAGAAATAAAATTAAATAATACAATATATAGAATTTTATTTGAAAGTAAAAATCATCAATAACTAAATAACTGAATGATTAAAAAGATAAAGAAATTGAAAAAAATTATATTATAAGAAGATAACATCTATAAACAATATATAAAACATTATTAATTAAATGAAATAATTCAAAAACGTTTTAAATTTAAAAACAGAATTACAAATCTTTAGAATTACAAATAGTATTAGATTAGATTATTAAATATTAGATTATTAAATATAATATTAGATTATTAAATATTTATTTTAAAAATAATTAAATACATTGTTTTTATATTAATGATACTTTTTAGTATTATTATACAAGTTATATGATAAATTTTATTATATAAAATAAAAATCATGCCATCTTATAGCGATGAAGATAAATATAAAGCTTCAATTATAAATGAAGTCAAGCATAAAGAATTTTTTTCCTTCATTTTTAATGTGCACTGTGTATAATATTACTATCATAATATTAACAATGTATAAAAGAAAATATAACGATTAAAATAAAAATATTTACCTTGATATTTTCTAATTCTGCTTGTGTAATTGTTAATTGTTGAAGTAATTCTGCAACAGTAACTTTTGGTGGTGTTTGATGCGCCTGTTCAAGTATCTATAATTTTATTTATAAAAAATAGATAAATATATAAATCTTAATTTTTAATTATGTATTTCAATTATGTATTCAAGAAATATTAAATATTATATAAGTTTAAAAAAATAAAATAAAATAAAAAAATTGGTAATATTTATATAAATAATGATAATATATATTATATAATATACCTGATCAGCTTGTTCTATACGTGCTGCTTCTTGACCTTTGGCATACATTTTCAGGTACATTTGTTTATTTCTTTCTTCTTGCTCATTTAATAGAGCCTTTTGTTCTGAGAGTTCTGTTTTTACAATTTCTAATTCCGCTTCTAATTCACGAGCTCGTGCTTCCGCAGTATCAACAGAAGGCCTCACTTCACAATAACGTGTATTTACTTCAGCTAATTGATTTAATAAACTTTCCACCTGAAATATAAAATAATTCATTGTATAAATTTATATATTGTATTACTAATAATTTTATTCTATATATATTTAATCAATTAAAAATTTACAGTTATAACTATTGTTTTATTATTTTCATTTAAAAAAAAAAAGCGAAAATATTTTTTGTTTTATCAAAAACAAAATCTTATATGTAAAAATTTTCTTGTATATATATAATTTTCTTTTCTTTTGATTTATTGTTGTATTTGATTAAAGAATCACATTTTTTTAAGTTATATCATCCTTCTTAAAATACTTTGCATGTGATAAATATTTAATATATATATATATTTTTTCTGAGATATCACCTTATCATTGTGTTTTTGCTTGAGATCTTGAAGTTCATCAACATGTCTACGATGCATTTCCTCAATTCTATTCTCATATAGATTCACCAATTTGCGCCTCTCTTCATCTCTTTCCGGTGTTTCTGTAGTTGATCTTATAAATGTATCGGAAGCATTACTTTCATCAACTTTATTAGGAGTCGTAGTGATATGAGTACTTTCTGGTTGCACTTCTGGTATAAATATAGAATCTTTCGAATGGACGGATCCGTCTTCGAAGTGACCCGAGTCCGCAAGAGAGGAGGGAAGATCAGAGGGAGCACGTTTTTCTGGAGTTTCTGGACTTGTGATCTTTCGTAGCGCATTTTCATCTGGTAAATCTTTGCTTGGGGATTCTGGAGAAAAAGGATTATTTTCTCGTACGGTAAGGGCATCGCTACTATCCGTTCTTTCATCTGGACTATTTAGAGAAGCTTTATATAATCTTAGCTCTACTACTTCCTTCGTTAATCGAAATATTTCCTGATCCTTCTCTTCAATCTCCTTTCGCGCTTCCTTTAATAAAGCCTAAACAACATAATTTTTATAATGATTAATGAGTAATGTTTTATACGAGTATTATTAATATATTATTATTATTAATATATACAAATAATATATAATAGTATATATAAATAAATAAATATTTATTTTTTATTATATATTATATATTATATTATTCTTTTTGTTAAAAATTTCATCATATTAAATTTTCTTATTCTTCTTTCTATTTCTTATTCTTCTTTCTATTTTAATTATCTTATAATTAATCTCATTATTAGTTGTTAGATTAATTAAAGATATAAGCCCATATTAAGTATCATGATATAATATAGCAATTTTTTAAAACATTTGCAATAAATAATATATCATTGCGCAAAAATTTATATTGTTGATTATCAAGTTAATGAATTCTAGCAATTGGAATTTAAATGAGTTCAATTTGATTTAAAATCCTTATTTAAATTAATCAAATGTTACTTGAATTCTTATTAAGTTGAATGTTTATTAAGTTCGAGTATTTAATATGAATCAGTAAATATCTAAAATAGCACTGATCTATAATAATAAAAGAAATTTTGAATATATTGTTAAATTATGTTATCATTATATATCACTTTCATTATCATATTTTTTTTCGCTTTCAATATTTTACAAACAACATACATATATTTACTTTTATTATCTTTCAATAATACATTTATTAATTTCATCATTTTAAATTGATAAAATTCAAATTATATGACTTCAAGTTCCTTGAATTCAAGTAATTTGAACGAAGCTTTACGAAGTTATCTCTTTACATATATTCTTCTATTGTTAATTAGTTTGGGCCAGTGTACACTCAAGACTTAAGATACCATTGCAAATGGATTAATTACTGCAATATACACAAAATATAAGATAATGTCATAAATGATAAAAAACAATATTAATTATTACCTGAAATTTCCTAACTTGTCTAGCTGCTCTTTGGGTAGGTGTAAGATATTGTTCATTGTCACCAGTATGATTTGAACAATGAACAACGTATCTTCGTGATCTACCAGACCATGTGGTACCGTTGAGAGCAAACGTAGCATGATCACAGGCGCTTGCGGCACTGCAGGCACTTCCGTAACTTTTCACGCTTTCTGCATCGCTATCGTCGGCAATTCCAGTGCCTGATCCTCCAGAGGCCGCGTGTCCAGGCCGCGGCCTCGCCGGCGTCAATGAAAGACTCTAAAATAATGAGAAAAAAAAAAAAAAA